TAGTAGTATATATATATAGTATATATATATATATATATATATATATATATATATATATATATATATATGTAATATATATGATATATATGTAATATATGTAATATATGTATATATGTATGTATGTATGACATTGGATTGTAAGCGTGTTGCTCTAAATACGTTGCGATGAATATCATCACATCCCTCTGTGATCGAAAGGATAAGATGCCTGCCCGATAAGCGGAAGATCCAGATTCAATTCTTAACTGAGATGATATTCTTCGCAAAAATAATAATTACGAATTTTCACGACTGGTTTCGTGATCCGGCCCCGTCGTGACGCACACCCTCCCTTAACGAATTATGACTTATTGCTCGTGCAAACAGAAAAAAAGAAACTCGCTCCAAAGTGGTGAAAAATTAGAAAAACGCCAATATATTTGATAAGAGGTTAAAAAAATTGGGCGCGACATGTTTTCACCATGGGAAAACATAAAGATATATTTTTTTGAAATATGCTCAGGAAAAAGCCAACCAAAGAACTTTGAAAAACTGATACGGAAGGTATGTTCCTCTTTTCCTTTTCCTACATATAAGCTCTTTTAAGGACTTGTTTCTACCTCGCTCTCATATGTACCTGTAGTGCATATATAGGTGATGCACAGACAATATGGGACCTACATTTTAAACGCCGGTTCCGAACGGCAAATTTTTTGAGGAAGTTCTGTGGATAAGAATACTCTCGTGGTTTGCCAGACCGTCGAGAGGAGACACAAGCGTATGAAAATATTTTGATCCTGCCGGGAATCGAATCCGGGATCTGTAACGTACTAGATTACCAATGTGCTATCTACTATGTCACACTTGCTCTCGGTGTGTCGCGTTACAAAATTATATACATACACACTTTTGTTGTTTCCTCAAATACGACATGACAATCTGACTTGTTTAATACTTACAGAACATTGTTTGTGTGCTTGCACATCTCGCGATAAATATGACAAAAGATGAGAGAAACACGAAGCGCAGACATGATTTCTGTAAATCATCTAAATATTTTGTAATTTCTACGCATAATATAAACTTTTATCTAAAAAAACAATAAAAAAAAAATAAAATTTCTTCGAGAATGACTAGATGATATCAAATATTAAATAATCCGTAAGGGAAGATATTTTTCGATTAGATTAATCGCAAATAATGATCTTCGATTACAACGAATAGGAGGTGTGGGAGGCGTTAGGTCGCATTTCGCTGTTTCGTTTAAGGCAATACGACAGTTTGGCATGACGGCTACACGTGTACTATTGTTCGTTCAAACCGAGGCCACCCACCTCAGACATGTTACACGCGCGAGAACGAGCTGAAAGACGAAACGGAACCATCGACAAGATGGACAGAGAAAGAAGGAGGCAAAGGAGAAAGATTTGAGGAAACAGAGACAGAAAGAAAGAGAGAGGTTTGCCATGATCCGCTCGTCGACGAGCTTGCATCCAGAGTGAAGAATCATATATTATCATTATTATTACTTCCTTATCACTCCCGACATTCCTTTTGATAGACAGAATGACAAAAAGTTATCTTTCTCTTCCTTTTCTACTCCATCCTTCCTTTATCATAATACTTTAACCTCTTTAGCAATTGACCGGGTTACAGTGCACTCATGACATTTTGCAATTATTAATTAAGTATCAGTGATTCTCAATGCAAACCACATTAAACTAAGTGAGGGTTTTAATATGCAATCCATGCGTTTTCATCAGTCGAAATATGACAGCATGAAACAGATGCACCGATAAACGTATTAATTATATTTTAATACATTATTAAATAATACTAATTTTCTTTGAATCTTTGAATGATATTGATAAAATTAATAAATAGGATATTGAAATCGTGAAATAATTAATGAGTCGTAACAATGTAATAAATAACTCTTCCTTTTTATTTTAATATAAACTATTCGAATTTGAAAACCACTATACTTTACTGAAATATTGCGAGTTTATTCTCTTAGTGCCAGGATGTAGTGCGAACATTGCGCAAACTGACGCGAAAACATTACGTTTATCGGGCACGAGGCTCAACATTTTCGGAAACACGAACGTACTGACGCACACGGCGGTGCCGTAAACATCGTGGATATTTTATCATATCGTCGCGGTAGACAATTATATTGCCCGATGCGTTGACGTCGTCGGCGATTCCACGGTCATCAGCGGCGTCATCAGGAACGTTCGTTGCTCGTTGAGAATTTCTCGTGACTGCCCGGGGAATCTTGGTGGATTTGCTATACGATGTTTCACTAGCTGTTTCGTGCATCTCGCAAGTACACACGCACGCGTGCACGCACGCACGCAACGGAATTATGTGTTACTTGACACTTCGTTGTTAGACAACGTAGCTCCGCGTGTGTGACTCACTCATCATCCGACTTGTCACGATTTTGGCGATCCGGCCTCGCGCCGCTTATTAGCCACTCTCGCTAACGCGGGACTTGTCGCGGGACAATGTACGACACGAAAGTCGTTTCATTTGACTACTTTATTTAGGCGAACGGGCACGGGAGGAAGATGAGTAACGTGCTCGTGAAAGGGAAACGTCATAACTCATAAGTTATACTCCGCGGGAACGGGACAATACGAGTGTTGTAAGGATTATATTCGAGGCGCCTCTTCCCTTCAGCCAGTCCGTCCGCTAAATATAAGCGAGCCCATCCTTTCCTTCATCGTGCCATCTTGAGTATCTTCCATTTCGATTCCGTTCTCGTTATATTCTCGTTTCAGCCTAGAATCTCTCTCCGCGCATTCCGCGACACCGATGCAGCTTCGCGTAATACGCGTATCCATTGCATTCCTTTGGCAAGACGACGCGCGTAACTTCCACGATGCCACTACATTTAACCACGCGGCGGCTAAGCCGCAACCCGAGCCGCCTCGCCGATGACGGCGATATTGCCGTCCTGCAAGCGGCGCCCGGTTAACGTGATCGCTGACTGAGACATGCCATCGTCATCTGAGAATAGGTATCCCGGCCGTGGCGTCGAAAGTAAAGTTATCGTATCGCTAACTTGAATATATACGATTCCGATTTCACAAAACATCGCCGGGCAAACCTTATGCGAGTACGTATTGAAAAAATATATAAAATATATCATCGAATAAAAAATTATTTGGAACTATATTAGCTATAATTTACATTGATGATTCCAATTAGTTATTATTCCAGTATTATCACGCAAAGAGGCAGCTATTTATTTTATAAAGAATTCACAGAACAAAGGTTCTGTTCGTTCAGAAATATTAATAGTCTGATTTTAAAAATTGCAAAGTTGTCCAATAAAGCAAAATAAGTAATATTTCATACGTGTTGCTTTTCTTATATTAAAATTTCATCAAAACAATTACAAAATTACCATCTTATATATATGTCAAAGATGTAATGATCTTTGACGATTTAATGACTTCTCTAAAGAGATTAAAATAATTAGATAGCTATTTGACAATAGTAACTTGACTAGACACCAGAGAGCAGTAATCTCTTGGTCAATTGCACGAACTTATTTTTCCCATCAATTCTTTTCATTAATTCTTATTTACGAAAAATAAATCCTAGACAATAGCAACCACGACTGTTATTTTGATTTGCTCTCATATCATTTTCCCTAATCTCTTTTATGTCTTCATTCAAAATTATCATTGTAATTAGCAATACACACTGACAAGAAAGCTTGGGAAGGGATCGGCACTTAACAATCATCGGACAAAGGGCGCGTGCAAAAAGTCCCGGCGCACTTGGTGCAGCATAATTGTGACTTACGTAAGCGTGCATGAAAGCGGGACAATATTTCTGCACGTGTCACACAACGAGACGACCGCTCAGACAGGCGATGCGACGCGATGCAACGGGACGCGACGCGACGCGACGCGACAGACAGACTTACCACCCACGCGAACGGCGGCCAACGGTGGCGTTCTCCATTTGTCTATCCGCCCTGTCATCCGTCTTGCCAATCGCGGAACAGCGTGACCGACGCGCACCGCGACGTGTCTCCGTCCCCCTCGTTGTCGACGACGTATATGTCGTTTCGCGGCGACGGCGCGACCTGTGCGAAATGTTACAATCATCGCTCATTCTGCGGGGGAAGAGTCGCCCTACGGCCGGTCGCGTTCGATCCTCCCTCCGCCTCCCCCGGTCGTCCTCGTTCCCGTCGTTATCGTCGTCGTCGTCGTCGTCGTCGTCGTCGTCGTCGTCTCGCTCGCGTTAGACACACGCACCACGGTCACGTATGCAGCTGACGATTCTTCGCTACTATTTCAAGCGAGCCGCGGAAGCGGCTCCACGAGCGAGTCTACGAGCGCGTCGCGTTGGATCTTGTCCAGGGCGATCGTCCAATCGCCCGCGGAGATTATTAGCGCGCAGTTAACCGATTGTCGCTGAATATCCCGCGATTCCGCAACACCAGTGATAAAACAAACATAAGATGTTAAGTATATTAGGGAGATGTCTACCGTAACATCATTAGGCTAACGTTATTTCTAGGAGGTCATTATCACTTGATATTAATTTTATATCATTAGCGAAATAATATTATAAATAAGATTGTTAATAAATTTAAATAACTAAATATTGAAAAATAAATTTGTATATTAATTTGTTGTTATGATATTAATCTTGTTGTTAAAATCTTAGGTTTAATAATTTGGCAAATAGAAAAAGACATTCCAATCTATTCTCTTTTATCAAGATAAAATATCGAAATTTTATATATATATTGTAAATTTTTTATGTTCTCGATAAGTTGAATCGTACAATAGAGAATGTACAAAAAATGAATAGTATATGTACCGTTCAGATATTTTTCTTGTCAGAGAGCGAATCTTTATCTGACAAGTATGTTGTTATCTACCGATAACTTCTATAGAATGAATTTTTTGCAAAGCTGCCTTCACAATCTGAAAGAAATCAGGCATCTTCATCAGATTTCGACGAGATTGTCGCGAAACGATGTGGAACATGCTGGATCCGAGGATGCGCGCATCTCGGATGCGTCGTCGCGTACAAAAGCACGAAGAGAGTCGTACGAACAGAGAGTGGAGGTACGACGAGGCTTGGAAAGAGCCAGACGTCGCCGGCAATAACTTGTTGCACCCAACCACTTGTTGCACGCCTCTCAAAATTCTTCACGCCTCGCCGAGCAATTTTACCGTAAATTGCCTCTTCGGGAAAAAAATCTCTTTCTTTCTCTCTTTCTCTTTCCTTGGTGTATCTTATTGGGTGCGAGGCCAAGACCAAGGCAGGAAGACTGGTCGGCTACGAACGTGGCTCGTGATATCGCGAACAGGAAGAGCCGAGAGGAAGTTAATAGACAAACGTAAAATAATAAATTGAGAAATTTTGCCACGAGAACCTGATTCGTGGATGAGAGTCGCGGTCGTTATTTCATTTGTTATTCCTGTGGGACTTCCTTGCGCGTTATAATTTGTATCATGCATCGTAAAGTTAGTCCGATAATTTAATTTTAAGGAAGGAAACGTGCAACACAATGCACATAAATTTTTAATTTTTTTGCTTATATTTTTAAATATATATTTAAAGAGAAGAATAGAGAGACAAAGATGAACAATTATAAAGCAAGATTGTTCTATTTAATAAAAATTTTGAACAGAATTAGACATAGTTTCATGTTTTCTTTGTTAATCAAATTGTGCATATACATTTTAGATTGGAAGCAAGAAAAGCAATGTTATTTTTCATTAAAAATATTTCATTTCACTTTATTCAATATATAAAACGAAGAATCTGTTAATGAGATATTAATTTCACGTTATAATGAAGATATTTTGGTAAGCTAATCCTTAGTAAACAAATTTGCCGATGTTGACATTTGCATATAAAAAATATGATCATATTTTATATTATTGTATAAATATAAAAACCCACGTATCAACGAAGCTGTTAAGAGATGGCTTTATTTCTTTTTTTTTTGAGAAAAGATACCTGCTTATCGTTTGTAGTCATCCGTCATCGTTGTATCGCCCTTACGATTACGAAATCACGCCCGCATGCCGAGGCCTTAAAGGCAATTAAGGCGCCGGCGATCAAATTATTCGAACATGCCGGCCCTTTGACGCTGTGCCGCCTCCGTAGTTACATGATTTCTCATGTCGCGATAGTATGCGTGATCTTATTACACACGTCAACCGGAGCTGAATACAAACTTGGCGGATATTTGGCACTCTCCTTTCAAAGCGGAAAGCAGAGATTCTTAATGACGTAAACTGCATTTAAAAATTTTTATTTGCATTATGCATGAATAATAATATGATATTTAACATTTATATTAATGAGAGTATTAAGATATATTATTACAAATAGGGCTTTGTTTCATAAAATTAAAGTGCAAATTGTTTATACAAAATTAGACTTCCTACATATTGTAAAATAAAATTGTTAAAGTTTTCATTTTTCTGCACATTTATTGATTCAAATTATATATACGTGTTAACTGGAAAACAATAATTACAAAAATTTGAAATATAAAAATATAAAATTGAGAAATGTATACGCGTGAAAAAAAATGTAAATATTATTTTATTTATAAATATTTGTATTATTTTATCTAATAAAGGTAAAATCTTTAAACAAATATTTAAACATAATCTATTGATCTGACGTTTCGTCATAAAATCTCTCTTTAACCATAATGTCTTTAAAACTTTTGACGCCTGCTTCGGATGAAGCGTTAACAGACTCACACGGCAAATGAACGAGACAGTTCGGTTTCAAATCAAGGCGCTTTGAAAAGCGAGCTGCTACATGTGGATTTATTAAATGCTGAACGATGTGTAGTACATCAAAGTGTATATTATTAGACGGTGACACGTTGCGACGAAAATAGTAAACACCCTCGCCCGTTCCAAATATTGTTGGAACCTCGACCTTGCTTTAGCGTAAGCCATATATCATCGTCCACTGAACGTCTCTCAGCTGTTTACATCTTTGTGCCACCGGACAGTTCGCGTTTATGCCATTTCATTAACGCGAGCATATAAGCGTTTTACTGTGTTTCATAAACGTCTGATAAATATTTAATCTCAGTGACTGTGCCACTCTAATATATACGTTGCAGTATCAATATTAAAATTTTTATTACGCTCCGTCTACGTCTGTAAAAAAATTGTTAATTACTTTATCTGAGGAAAGAAGGAATATGAAATCGAATATGATTAATCGATTCTGTGTATAAACGTAGCAAGTCACTGTCGCAAGGACGATTTTCAATTTTCGATTCTAGCCATTAGATACCTAACCGCCTGTAAGTCGTTGCGTGAACCAAGACATCTGACGTCTTTTAACGAAGATTAATTAAATGCGTTACGATGACAGTGATAAATCGCGCATCGATATAATGTTGCGGTGATATTGCATATTTTAAGATTCTAGTGTCGATTAATTTCTATCAATTAGATTATTTTCGCTAGCTTGTTTGGCACCTATCAATCGATCGTTAACAGTGATCGCGAAGGAGTACCGAAACGATCGATGGTCGATATCACAAGCTTGCAACGGATGTCGAACAAAGTAGGTATCGCTCGCTAGGTTCTAACGCGATGACGTTCACGCTCCACATCATGTGACAAATGATCGAGAAACGGAAAACTGTCGATTGATTCCGATTGATGCGACCTCACGGTGATGCATTATAGCTCGTCGCGGAGATCCTCTCGTCGTATATGTCTCTCTCTCTCTCTCTCTCTCTCTCTCTC